TGTATAGATTTTAGAATCTTGCTTATTACTTATAAAGCCCTGAATGGAGCTCGTATTGCATTATAGTCCTCCACGTTCGCTGCGTTCTCAAAACTAGCAATTTGATAATACCTAGAATATCAAAATCAACTGCGGGCGGCAGATCCTTTTCCTATTTAGCGCCCAAACTCTGGAATAACCTACCTAACATTGTTCGGGAGGCAGACACACTCTGTCAGTTTAAATCTAGATTAAAGACCCATCTCTTTAACCTGGCTTACACATAACACACTAACACATTTCTAATATTCAAATCCATTAAAGGATTTTTAGGCTGCATTAAATTGGACAACCGGAACCGGTGAACACTTCTCATAACACACAATGTACTTGCTACATCGTTAGAAGAATGGCATCTACGCTAATATTAGTCTGTTTCTCTCTTATTCAGAGGTCACCGTTGCCACCAGATCCAGTCTGTATCCAGATCAGATGGTCACTGCAGTCACCCGGATCCAGTACATATTCAGACCAGAAAGGACCTCTACAGCCCTGTAAGACAGCGGAGACCATGACAACTAGATGAGCCCCAGATACAGATCCCCTGTAAAGACCTTGTCTCAGACGACCACCAGGATTACTATTGTCATTTTGCGTTATTGACACACTATTTTCCTAATTAATGCTGTACAGTTGCTTTGACACAATCTGTATTTTTAAAAGCGCTATATAAATAAAGGTGACTTGACTTGACCTTTAGTTTCACTCAGCGAGTAAAACACAGTAGTGACCACCAGGTTGCTAGGCTTGTATATATACAGTCAAAGTTTAGATTGCATCAATCTAATTATAATTTATAAGGCCTTTATGCTGTAGAAAGAGGAGCATCATTCAAATCTACCTTTATATAACACTGTACTGAGATTTCTTCATCAGAAACAGCTTAAACAATAGTGCAATTTAGTGATTTTTCACAAGTTTGGACATGCCGCTGAGCTGAGATTCCTTCGTCAAAACAGACTGAAATTAGGGTTTCTTCGCTAAGATCAGATTAACCTTACACTGATACCATTTAAGCACGAAGTGCATAAATACTCTTTCAATCATAATAGAGATGCCAATTCAAGCCACTACTTTATCTGCATATAAACAAGCCAGCAAATAGGGACACAAATGCGTATCACAAGTCACACCCTATTCTTACCTGGATTATCAAACACACACTTTTAGGTTGACAGTGATTTAAACTCATAACCTTTGTTTTATCATGCCTGCATTCTCCGCCGTTATATGTAGCGAATCAGCTCAAAGGGGAAATATGAATAATTAATTATAACTAGTTACAATTAATTATAAATATTTAGATCAGTTGTAAGTATTTGCTTGACATCTCAGTGTCAACTGTCTGTCAATTCTAAGAACGTTAATTTCCTGGTTAAGGAAAAAAACTTTCTTACTGTACAATACTACTCAGAGCATGTAGCAAAAGTCTGCATGATTAGGGACTCCAGTTATGAGCAAACAATGAACAACCTCAAGTGTGATACAAGTAAGACTTTATTAACTACATAAACACTTAAACTAGTCTAACATACACACACACGCGCGCGCACACAGTTGGCATATGAAAAGGGGTTAAAGCTTAAGCAGTAAAGAGAAGAGAAATAAAGACATGAAACTATCGTACAATTTGATATTCAGTAGATCTACAGCCTGAAGAAAACATCAGTTTCTTAGTTCAAACACACCTTTGTAAAAAGGTGCAAATGATACTTAAAGGTCCCCTGAAATGCTTAGAAACACGCAGCATTACTCTATGTGTTGACATCATTTTAACTGAAACAGGAAGACAGGGCGGGACATATCAAGCAGCCCCGCCCCTTTTTAAAATAGCCAATAGCGTTCCTTTATATCACAGCTTGGGCTAGAGCCGTTCAGAGCCGTTGAGCTCCGTAAAGCCGCATTTGACACGGTAACTACTAGGGATGCTCCGATCCGCCTTTTTCTCCTCCGATACTGATTCCGATACCTAGGGTTCGGTATTGGCTGATACCGATCCGATACCAGTGAAGTTTTTTTCCCCCATTTAAATAAATGTACAATTTATATATCTATGTGTGTGGAACTGATAATCATTCTTTCACAATCTACTAGATACAGACTACTTCATTATAAGATAACCGATCCGAGAAAAATGGCACTATCGGAGGCGATACCCGATATGAATATCGGATCGGTGCATCCCTAGTAACTATGCCAGCCACAACCTCATCCATATTGCTATAAAATATAGCATCCCGTGTAGAATTCAAATAGCTCCGATACATTTTGTGGTCTGCGGCGACTGGCGCATGTGATCCGCCTGTTTAAAAGAGAGTCCTGATGCACTTTGGGGCTCCAGTTGGTCTCTGCTGAAGTTAGTTGATGAGAAAGAACCAGTTTGAGTCAGAGGATCTTGATGAATGGAAAGACTAGGCCGGAGCCTGGCACAAGCTTAGGGTGGTTTTTTGATGACTCTTAGCTCAGCATCTTCTCCTGGAATTCCTGAATCTAAAAGAACCACCCTGATCTGGTGATCAGTGATCTATAAAGGGTGACGATGTCACACCCTCAGGATTTGAGTGAGCCAATGAGGAATGGTAGCTTTGGAGGGAAATTTTACAATCTTTTGTCTCTAGCATGGTGTTTTGAATATGAAACTGGATTGGCTGGCCAAGAGGAGAATCTTCAAGATTCTTATAATACAAATGTGTCACAGAGTTAGCCAAATGTAATGTAAATTAACAAACAGGAAACGTAATTTGGAGCTTTTAGATACCAAGCACGGCATATGTGCGATCTTGGTTAATTAAGTAATAATAGAACATCAGATGGTAGCCTGGGTAACAGCCCTCTTGGTGTGATACTTGCACTTTTGGGGGATGGTCCTCGGAACTCACAGAGTGGGTTTCAAAGATTATTTTTTAAATAACAAATAATTTTGTGTCTGCTCTGTTCAGTCGTTACATCAATATCGGTTGATCTCTCATATATAATTAAACTAACATTGGCATAGTAATAATCTGAAAGATTTTAGTTATATGATAGAAATTTTAAAGTTGATTTTTTTTTTATCTATTAATAAATTGCTGAATAAAACCAACCAGTAAATAGTCTTGAGTGACTGATATGACAACGTGTACACAGTTTAACCATGTCTTGTTTCAAAATGACAAGTTATGAACACATTCATTCGATTCACCACATTTTTTTTTAAGATATACAAGTACACTAATGGGTTTGATACATTTAACTTCAAATAGGGCCTTTCTATTACTGACAGTAAAGCAAGACTTGAACCTGGGTTTAGGACTCACCTCATTTAGTTCGTAGTTCCTCTGGGTTTCCAGCCCTGAGAAAAGCCCTCCAGTGCAATCCCTGCTGGGTGTCAAGGGCAAAGGAGAGGAGGAGCCACTGTGAACAGGAGTCTCTGGATAAGCAGTGGAGAAACATGCATGCAATTTCAAGATTTTATATATATATATATTGCTTTGTTTAGTTTTACAAGGCCGCAAAAAAATCATAAATACAACCAGTAGTAATATGATTTAATGGCTTATCACTTTTGACCAATAGGTGGCGCTGTTATCAAATTGATATTGTGTGTTCTGTCTGAGGTGACAATGGCACACACAAAGTTTGGTGACAATATATCAAAGCTTTGCAGAGATACAGCCTTAGACATAGACTGGCATCATGACTCAAATTTGTAGCGGTGCTATACAAAAACAGTTTTGTCTATCAAAACGAAATCCATAACTTTTGTCATCACAGTCTGAAGATGATCCGTTTTGATTTTGGTGAAACACACAATCTGTCCAGGAGGAGTTTGAAACAGTAGGTTTTCAACAAATCAAAATAGCATAAACCAAAATAGATAAATAAATCAAAATAGCAGACCAGTTAATGAGAACTATTTCATTACAATAGGCTAATACACTCTAGTGGTCTAGTGACGATGCCACATCAATTTTGGTCAAATTTGGTGAAAATTGGACCAACAGTCTAGGAGTTCGAAAAAGTAGGTTTTCAACATAAACCAAAATGGAGGACAGGAAGTTCAGCTGACTATGGCAAAATCAGTATCTACGCTTTTGGCATGACCCAAAGAATTTATTGCGATGAGTTTCACTACAATAGGCCAATTTAATCAAAAGTTACTAGAATTTTTGGAAATGTCATTATAACTTTTTGCTCAGAAATTTTTTGAGTATCATCAGAGTACTGTGCCGAAGACACATACTGCGTTTTGTAATGATACACCAGTGCGTTCATAAAATATAGCTTTTTATGACAACATTCAAAATGGCTGCCCAAAATGGCTGCCATGGGAAAATTGTGAATGGTTCGACTCTGTATGTATGTTGCACCGAATCTAAAGAGACCAGTTTTGTGATTTTTTTGGCCAAACCATTCAGAAGTTATAAGCAAAAATATCTATTTTTCATATTTCCCTGACCACTAGGTGGTGCTGCACTGAAACACAGCATGTATCCTCAGGTCATGCTTGTGATGACATGGACCAAGTTTGGACTGAATATGATAAAGTGTAGAGGAGATACAGTCTTACATCTATTTTCACAAGTGCTACAGAAAATTTGTTGCCGCATTTTTGAAAATGGTTTGACAAATTGACTTAAATTCCATAACTTTTTGTCTGCATTGTCTGAAGATGACCTGGCTCAATTTTCATGGAAATTGGAGCAATGGCCTAGGAGGAGATTGAAATTTCTATTTAATTCTAAATTTTCATAACAGAAAATGACATCACATACTGCAATCGAATCGGCTAAGGAATCCCACATGAAAAAATACTGTAGTAAACTCTAGTATTTACTATAGTAAACTGTAGTAAATTATAGTATACTGTAGAATATTATAGTATTTACAACACTTTGTTAACTTATACTATAGCATACTACAGTATTGACTAAAGTGAGTTCATAAAATGTAGTAAATACTGTAGTAAACTTTAGTATTTACTATAGTAAACTGTAGTAAATAATAATACACTGTAGTATATTATAGTATAAAACACTTTGTTAATTTATACTACAGGATACTGTAGTATTAACTAGGGATGTTCATTTTAACCGGTTAACTGTTAACAGACCGTAAGAATTTTTGACCGATTAATACAATCAGTTAAATGGTTTAAAAAGTCATTTATTCATTTTTTTCAGTAATTTATCAAAATATTTAAAAAGGTTTGCTGCATGGTTAAAATATGCTACGCGTATATAAAAAAAATCGTTTTTTAGAAGAAAAACTATAGGCCTAGTAAGTCGCATTTTATTTCTTCTTTCAGAAATAGGCCTAATGCCGACGCGAAATGTTTACAAACATTATAATAAACACTAGGGCTGTGCGATATTGAAGAAAAATGCGATATGCGATAACTCATTAAATAATGCGATATTCGATATGCGATACGATAATGCTTAAAATGCCACAGGCTCAGATGAAACAGTTTTACTCAGCTGTTGCTGAGTCAGTTCTGTGAACTTCTATAACTATCTTGTGTCATATATATATGGTTATTTGTATGTATGTATATGCATGTATCAAGAGCTCCTGTAAAACCACAACAAATTCATTGTGTTTGCGTACACTTAAGTGGTGAATAAAGCTCATTCTGATTCAAAATCTAATGTTTCCGTATTCGCAATGTATTTAAATGCCAAAATATTATTTATTATGTAGCCAACTTCACTGGCGTTCCAATATCCACGTAAAACAAAATGTTTTGCATAACATCACGGCGGTACTGTGACGCTTAACGGCACAGATTTACTACATATTTAAACTGAGCAGTGTGTTTTTTTCCATATGTTTGACTGACACTATTTTATTATGATAATGAACAGGCTGCATTGTCAAGGTGCGCGCATGCGGCACCGGCGCAATCACTTGAATTTTTTCCTTCTAACAGTGGAAGAAACTACTCCTTTTAGTCATAAAGATATTAAAAAATTGTAAAAGGTTTGCTTTTATTTGTGTACATTCACAATAAAAACAAATCTTTGATTCTTTTGTAAAATAAGCCTAAAGAAAAATAGGATGTCGCTTTCTGTCGTCTGTTTCCTTTCATCTGTCGTCTGTTTCACCTTATATGAGAGAAACTCTGCATACTAGGATACTTGTTGCACAGTTTTTCTTTCATTTTCCTAATTTATTATTTAAGTAAAAATATATTTCTCGTATAGGTCTATTTATTATTATTATTATCTCAAGGCTGCGGTTATCCCTCTTGCTGGTGCACCTTTTCCTACCACACTTTTTCCTTCCAACCAACTTTCTATGAATATGCTTGGATACAGCACTCTGTGAACAACCAGCTTCTTTAGCAATTAACTTTTGTGGCTTACCCTCCTTGTGGAGGGTGTCAATGACTGTCTTCTCGGCATCTGTCAAGTCAGCAGTCTTCCCAATGATTGTGTAGCCTACTGACCCAGACTGAGAGACCATTTAAAAGCTCAGGAAACCTTTGCAGGTGTTTTGAGGTAATTAGCTGATTAGGGTGTGACACCATGACTTTCCAATATTGAACTTTTTCACAATATTCAAATTTTCTGAGACACTGAATTTTGGGTTTTCATTATCTGTAAGCCATAATCATCAAAATTTCAAGAAATAAAGGCTTGAAATATTTCACACTATGTGTAATGAATCTATATAATACATGGGTTTCACTTTCTGAAATGAGTGACAAAAAATATTGACCTTTTTCATGATATTCTAACTTGTTTAGATGTACCTGTATATATTGTGTTCAGTGTTCATATATGGTGCTCTGCTCTCTGTACCACTCTGTACTTTTCGAAACTGGTACAGATAGATATAATTTGTATCGTCATCTAAAGGATATTTTGTAAGGCAAACAATAATTTAGGTTTTTTTTTTTGCCTTACAATACTTTAACTACATGACACAATTCTCAGCGCTCGTGCGGTCTGTCTTGCGCTACTGACGAACGTGACGTATGTGACGTTTCACAGCGCTTCACACCAGTCGCGCGGTCTTCAGCAAACACATTTTAAGACAACGTTGGAAGCAAAAGTTTAATTACTGTCAAATTTGTCCTGTTATTTTATTACTGGTGAGATTGGGGATCTCTCATGGTTACAAGGAACGCCAAATTACCCTTTCCAAATGTGTGTATTGAATCGACCAAACGAAGACCACACTTCCCAGCGAAGATATTGGCAGTGGTAAGTTAAGACTCTTATTAACCTTGTCAGTTCACTTACTATCTCATGAATTATCGGTTTAAATAAGGTATAGTATATTATTTATAGGTCCCTTGAAATGCTTAGAAACACGCAGTTATGTGTTGACGTCATTTTAACTGAAACAGGAAGACAGGGCGGGACATATCAAGCAGCCCCGCCCCTTTTTAAAATAGCCAATAGCGTTCGTTTATATCACAGCTTGGGCTAGAGCCGTTCAGAGCCGTTGATGTGCTACCGTGTCTCTGGACCGGAGCAGAGTGTGTGTACGGTGCGGTGGTTAGCGTGACACAGCGCAAAACCAGACTTCTTTTTTTCCTCAATGGAAAGCATATTTACACTGTTTGAATTGTTCCCTGTCCCCTATATAGTGCACTATGTGCCATTCACTGTACAGAAAATACTAAATTCAGTGGACAAGTGACCGATTTCAGACCGATTATTCAGCGTCTATTTTATAGTGTAGGGGGCGGGCGCTTCGGATTCTAGAGAGCATTTGATTGGACAGAAAGTTTCATGAGAAGCTGAAGTACGATGTGACGTCAAAAAAATCATTGAGCCGTTTTGGCGGAAG